AAATATGCGCACCTTCGAAGTTGGCATTACATAACCCCTTTTTTAGGTTACTCTTCCAACAGTAACGCTTTGTTTTAAATTTAAAGAAATATATCATAACACTAACTAAAGAATATTACTAATCATTTCAGATGTTGTCGCAATCGATCCTGTCCAGCGTACGTGTGCTCCGCACTGAGGCACGTCGTAATATTGGTATTATGGCACCAGCGCTTAACAAGGTCTCAGATCCCATCCAGCAGCTCTTCTTGGATAAAGTGCGTGAATACAAGAAGCGCAGCAGGTAGGCGAAGCACTTACCAAAGAAATATTAAATATTAAATGAGTACCTTATTTTTCCTCATTTAGTGGTGGCAAACTAGTTGATCCTACTCCCGACACCGAACGCGAGCTGAAGAACGAATTGGAACGCGTTGCAAAGCAATACGGTGGTGATGGTAAAGTCGATATGACCAAATTCCCCGAATTCAAGTTCCCTGAAGTCAAAATCGATTCCATCACTCAAAACATTTAGATTTAGAAAAGGTCAGAGGAAGCTAATCTTTGAATGTCATGCAAAATGCTGCCCCGACTGGTTGCTGCGGTTGCATCTTGATGTTTTCGCGTATTCTTATGCGGTAAACAATTTAATTCTTTATGGTTTTAAAACCAAAAAAATAACACCTAGAAAAAATAAAATAAAAAACTATTGTAAAATATAACTATAATTTAATATCTTTAAAAAGTCACCCATACTTATAGCAGAACTAGTATAGTATATATTATTTCGTTGCAATAATCTGCTCCACAGTCTCCTGCAGCAACTGCATTTTGTGAAATTCCGCTACACGCCGAAAAGTGCGCAACAGCCTATTGATTTCTTGGCCACTTATAAGCGGAGCAAACTCGCCAGCACAGGTGCAGAACTCTGCGAGGTTTTCACGTTTGATTTCGTTACAACGTATGCATCGCAGATCTTGTAATACGTAGGACATTTCTTTACGTTGTACCACATCGATAATGCGCATTTCGATTTCCTCATTCTCATAGGCAACAAAGCACTGGGCACACAACCAAACTGGTCTGTAGGGAAGGAAAAGTATTTTATTATATATCACATGGACAGCGTAGAATTTAAATTTTAGACATGTATGTATGCAGGCGTAGACGATAAATATCACAAAAAAAATCGTTAAACTAAAGGCGAAATTCACTTACATGCCATCCTTCATTGCGCGATGTTTGTCTTTGCACAAATCCAGATCGCGACAGTGATTGCATGCTTTGCAAATCACCTCTGCGATGGTGTAGGTGTCACTAGGGTCTTTCCACTCAGCGAGATCGGAGAATTCGCCCATGCCTACAAGTCGCAACATGTTTCTTCGCAAGCCGTTAACCTCTTCGGCCAGTCCTTTATCAACACTCAACGCCTTCACCAGCGTTCGTGTTAAATCCAAACCAGGACTTGGCCGTCCCTTACCATAATTTTTATGCAGTTTGGACACGAAATCAAATGCCGGGTGAGATATGTCCTTTATAGCTTGCCGAGTGTTCTTGCCCTCTGCCAGCGATTGCATGAATAATGTAAGTAGCGTCTCAAATTTATCGCGACATGCATTCTCTTCGGGCAAATGTTCGCCGATAGTCCAATTAAGTTCCAGAGAGAGTTGCTGCTCACTTTCTCCATTGGCGGAACCGTTTTCATCAGTTTCTTCCGGTCGCTCAATTTCCTCGATGTCATCTTCATCTTGATCTTCATCATTCTCACCACTTTTGTTTTCCGTGGTTTTATTTGACTTTTTGCCCTCTTCGTCATCATCGTCTACACTACACAAGACAGTGTCACTAGTTACGCCTGGTGGTAATTGGCCGCGTATACCGGCATAGTTAGCTTGATCCAGCCAAAGTACAAAATTCCAACATTGCTCATACGAAAGCTGTATAGAATGGAAGAGTTCCTTATTGCGCAAACTCTGCACCACGTACTCAACATAACCCAATGCATCCGACACAGTCTTCTTGCCTGAACTGAGTATGATGCGATTGAAGTCGGCATAAATGATTGTGGCACCCAGTCGCTTAAATTCAGCTATAATTCGCAAGAACATTTTGCGCATTAAATTATTCAATGTACGCCGTAGAGCCGGATCGTATAATAGCGCATTTGATGAACGCACCCAGCGATAGAAGTGTATTAATTGGAAATCAGCGAAAATGTTCTGATGCAGCGCCACTTCGCGCAACCAACCATTAACCATATGCCGCAGTACCCTAAAAGCAGCCGAGCAGAGCGCCGTTTCATCGTAACTTGGCAGCGTCGCGGCTGGCACTGTACCAATCATCTCTTCCAAAGAAGCCTGTGGTATGACGTCAAAAGTTACTGCCGAGCTGGCACCCTCCAATTCCTGTATGCGGTTCGATTGGAGCAGTGCACTTACAGCTAAGCTGTCCAGCGCTAGCTCAACACACACATCATTATAGAATCCAGGCCGATTCTGTACAACAGTAATGCTATCCTCGAACTCGGCCAACAGTCGACTGTCATCGGCTTCACGACCGCCCAAATCTGGACGTGTAGTGGTGGACCACCAGAGCACGAAATTATTACGCTGAAGAATGCGAGCAAAGAATAAGTCAGCACCAAAGAGTACCGTGTCAGGGGGCATGTTGCCGATGGGGACCTGAGAATAGGCGATAATCATATTTAAGGGTAGCTTAGGTATTTCAGATTGAATGTACGCGAGCACATACGTCACATTCTTGGTATGGTTATAGGATACGTGATATTTGGCAGGTATTTATATATTACATAATTTTTCTCGCATCAAAAACTTACTATTTTTACCGTAATTTAGTTAATTTTACTGAAACGGCATCCACCTAGCAATTTTGTTTTAGTTGTTACCTTACCTGGAAGTAACGGCACTGATCCAACATCATCTCCACCACATTATTGAGATGCAAAAAATGCCGCACTAGCGCACGCGAACCTTGGCGTTGCCAATCCAGACCAGACAAAAGCGAAGCATCGTCGGTAATGTGTATACGGGCCTGAGGAAAGTCTAATAAAATAGGCATAGCCGAATTCAATTTGCGCGCCTCCGTCGCCGTTTGAACATACAACATTGAAGGGCCGCGTTTCTCCTCCTTATAAGCTGTGAGCGCGCGCTGTATATGCCGGTAAATCTGCTTTACATCTACTTCGATGAGAACCTCGAATGTAAACTCCTCGGGCGGCAAACGCTCAACTTCGGCAACATCTTTCATCGTCTTGATAAGCGCTAAGCGTTCGGCCGTATATAGTGTGCGCATATTTGGCATTTGATTGGTGCGCACTGTATCCAGCGCAAAGATCAATGCCTTTCTGCTGGACAGCAAAAATAGTCCCCAAATTTCCTTTTTGGCTGTGGGAGTGTTGTGCTGGTATAGGAATATTTTGCGTAATTTGGCTTGAGCGCCTTTCAGATATATATGGCCTTGCAGGCGCTGCTCCAATTGCTCTATCGAGAAACTCTCCAAGTCCTTGGTAGCTAGCGCAACTAAACGTTGCGCCTCCTGACGCTGAACCGAGCACATACACCCCATGTCCATTAGAGCGCGGAACTCTAAAGACATTTGTGTCTCATATATCCCTTCGATGTCCGGTGTAGCCAGGTCAGCCAGCATTCCAAGGCAGTTGTCTTTGAATACCTGCTCAGGCACGCTATACCGATATAGGTTGTAAACGGGTCGCGCGCGTGGCAGTATACGATTCACCTTCTTCCACAACTGACCATCTTCGGGCGGCGCAACGTTACGCTGATTCACGTAGAATATACGCGGTACTGTCAATTTTATGCGATGTAACTCATCGCCGATCATCAGCCATACAGTGAAATGTCCCATATCATCATTTGATACGATTTGGAGCACATGCCACACATGGTCGATGAGCGCACGTTGTGCGCGTCTTAAGAAACCACCGATTGTGCCTGTAGCTGTGGCGCCATCCCTTGCGCTTGGCATTAGTGGTGCCACAGTTTGCTCATTGCGTGGCCGTTTATTGGCTTGCCGCACACGTTGGCGCCGCTCCAGCTGCCACGCCCATTTTTTCTTCTGAAAACGCACCCATTCGATGATTTTGGCGCGAGTTGTACCAACTGGAGGTGGCGCACCAAGCGCTTGTCGCCACGTTGTTGCCTCAGGTGCGCTCTCTTTTTCACCCTCCTTTTCATCCGATTCACCAGAGTTTAAGCGCTTTCGTTTTGTTACAACTGGCCGTCCACCTAGCGCACCCTCAGCTCCGTTACTAGCCACTAAATCCTCCATATCAGGTACTTCACTTGTGGCACGTATTTCACGCGCAGTTTTAGCTTTGGGCATAAACATTTCGTTAATGCGCCGCTGCTTGAGCACATCGTTCTTTTCGAGTATCTTCTTGTGAAGCCAATCTGGATGTTGTACGCGGGGTACTGGATTTGGCAGGCCTTGAAGAGCTGCTGGAATAGTGATGATCTTCTGTATGGTACCACCTAGACGCTCAATGTAGTAGTTCCAGTCAAGTACATCACGTATATCAGCATCGCCCATTGTATTGTCTTTGAGCCAACGACGCAAATGGTATCGGCGCACATTGGGTTCCGATTGGAAAATGGCTAGTGGAATGGCACGTTCCGTAACTGGTGCACCTTCGGGCTTCTTCGAAATTATGTACTTGCAGGCTAGACCTGCGTCTTTCACTATTTGATCGCCCAGAAATTCAGCTAAGCGCTTTGCTGTTGAAATCGAAGTACTCTTCTGTTCGCCATAGTCCTCAAGCTTCTTGGACATAGATTTATTCTCAGCGATCAAATCAAAAAGTTCCGAGTCTGGTAAATTAGAGCCACGGCTATAAAGCACATCCAGCCAATAGTCAGCAACTTTTGCCACGGACGCATAGCATTCCTCTAAAGTATTGCCCGCCAAAAAAGCCTCGAAAACAGAACTTTGAAAATTCTTAATTAACTGCAATTCACCACGACGTTTCACTTCAAATCCTTTTAGTTCAGCAAGTGAACCATCAAAATTAAACACAGCATATCGCTTCTTCAATTTCTTGCCCTCTTCCTTAGCTGCAGGCAACACCATCGCCAAATAGGGGCCATCGACTTCGAAGAAGATTGAATTCTCTTCGCGTATCACATACTCTGGCGGTTTGCCACCCTGAGCGGGTTTAACTAGTTCATGGTATTGGTCATTGGTGAAGTACTCTTTCACCATCGTATTTAATACCGCATTGGGATAAGAGATGTTGAATTTCTTTTTCTTCTCGTGCGTTGTATGTACCGTAAATTCCTGTGGGAACGATCCTGGCAATATACACCAAATACCATCTGTATCCAACTCTAGAGGGCGTCCAACGCGCTCGATTATCTCCCGAGCCTTTGTGATTATATTCGAGCCAGTTAAACATACAATGCCAGCCATTGGCATGGAATGCCAACGCGCTCCACGACGCATAACATAACCATAGAATGAATTCAAAATACATTTATGGGCCAGCTGCAAGGAGTCATAAAGCACCTCTCTGCCTTTTGCCGCTTTAATTTCTGTTGCGTCGCCAGATGTAAGGGCCGCATTAACCGCTGCCTTCGCCACCTTTGTCAGACCTTTGTACTCGTAACGACGGTCGCGAAAAGCGCGTACGGTGTCCACATAGAAGCTGTTTTCCTTCTCACAAACGGTTGATGTGCGCGTTTCCAATTTTGTTATCTTCGTCTTTTTGTAAGCCTTGCGACAATAGTCGCTGAGACGTTTTTTCTCATAGGCCGCTTGGTCTTCCCGCGATAGTTCATGAAATGCACGTGTCGGGCCACCAGGGAACAGTGGTGGAAATTTTTCGGTCTCCAACTGTTGTTGTATACGTTGAAATTCATTTCTAGTTGCAGGTAACATTTCTCCGCGCCACAACCAGTCCATAACGCGCTTACATTTAGCTCCCGGCTTATTGAAATCGCAAGCAGCACAGTCGGTCTCGCTTACCATAGCGGATGGTTGCAGTCGGTTGGTCAAGATAATGTTGGGATACATAGCGCCAACATCTAAATGGTAGATGACAGGTTGCTCCAAACGATTGGGAATATCGTGGAGACCTAAGCAATAAACAAATATGTATGTAGTATAATTTTATTAACCTGAAAAACTTATTTAGTATATCTTGCCTTGCAATGCCTGTGTTATTTCTTTGTTTATCTCATCTAAGTTCGTAACTTGTTCAATAGGTACACCTTCCTCCACTTCAATTGAATGTACCAACACTTTGGTCACATTATCTTTCAGTTGATTGACCATATTCGGATCGAGACGGAAGCGGCATGGTATATCGGCACGGAAAACGCCAGATTCTAATGCTTCTACATGACCACCAACGTATGTCTCAGAATCTAAAACATGTCCTTCATTGGAAAGTTTGTTTAGCTCGTTTTGTTGTTTGTTTGGATAGACAATGTTCGCTCGATAAGCTTGCACCATAAGTAAGGTCTCACAGAGCGTACCAGAACCTTTGCGAAGGATTTCATCTGGTTCCATAGGGATAATTGTATTCAGCGCAAAGATGAAAGGATGTACATATTTCATATACAAGTAGTAAGTAGCCACGGCATCGGAAACCGAGTAGTTGGATAGAACTTGCGGCTGCTCTACAGCCATACGACACATATCTTCTGGATCCAGCTCAACTGGATCGTAGCGCAACTTGGCCTTGGCAACCGCTTTGAGACCCTGCGAACCTACCGGTAGATAGGAGTCACGTTTTACCTGAAAGAAAAATATGAACCGTAAAATATAAGCGAAATACATTTTTCTTCGCTCATACCCAGCACAGGCAATCCATGTGTATGGCCGGCCTGCTTAAATAGAACCCATCTCTCAATTTGGAAAAACCAATCTCTTGCTTCATATCCAAATCATACACAGCAGCACGTGTTTCAACAAATGGCCAATCGAAGAAGTCGCCGTTGTAAGTAACAACAATATGTGGTCGCACCTCCATTATATGATCGAAAAATTTTTGAATCAAATGCATTTCATCCTCTTCATTAAACACAATAAAATGGCCCTCAAATTCTGGTTTGGGCGTGTATTCAAAATCATCTACATCCGTGGAAATTATTTCGCGATTTGTTATAAGATATCCTTGACCATCAATCATATATGAAATCATCATAATTTGATCCGTTTGCGCGTCGGGAAATTTAAGCGGCAGTTTTGTGGTTTCAATATCAAAAGCCAAAACCACTGGCTCTGGCCTCTCGAGTAAGTCAGGACGAGGGGTTATTATGGGCAACTCTAAGCCACCACTACGGCAACGAATATTATACCACTGGCCGCAAAATATACTTAAATCAATAGACACACGCACATGATAGGGCACATCGTGCTCTCTTATATCCAAGATGAGATCCATATAATCCATTTGTTTCTTAACTTCTCCATCACCCCCAAAGTTTGTACCAGCCAAAGATGACGAAAGCATTTGCATATAAAAGGTATTTGATTTCTCCCGCTCTACATTGCGTCGTACTGCCGCTGCTAACTCTCGACGAACTTTGGTCATAGCCGTCTGGTTTAGAAATGATAATTTCAAAAAATGTTGCTGCTTGCCTATCAAGTGGTTGGGCAAATCGAGATCCTCTTTATTGACATGTTCTACGCCAGCTAATTGGCCAGAGTATTTGCGACTCAAGAAACGTGCTACTTCATGCGATTGTTTTTCCTCTGGGCGGATCAATAGGTATGGTTTATAAGCAACCGTACACTTGAAACGAGAGCCATCCATTTGTATGAAAAACAAATCCAAAGCAGCAACTAAGCGGCGATCTTCATCTAAAATCTCGGTCTATATAAATAAGGAGAGTCTATGTATCTTTTGCATATGTATGTTCGTTTATACTCATATAAGGCCAGGTACTTACCGAGTGCATATTTATGAGATATCCAGTGCGCTCAATACTATCCTTAATACGGTCAAATCCATATTTGGAATCGATTTTGTCGTTTTCTCGCGATTGCCGGTATCCAGCCTCATTGAAGAAGTCATCGCTGAGATGGAGAAGCTTGTAAGAATTCGCAATTTCAGAATATTTACATATACCACATACCCTTCAGCGCGCGTATCCGTTGTAAACTTTCCTGTGTTTTGAAGCACTTTTGCTCTGGATCCACCACCTTCCTCCATAATTTCTGCAACAATTTTCTATAAAAAGAAACTTGTAGTATTTGCAAAAAATTAGTGGCCAATTGATTTGGCGGCAAAAGTTTTGAAGTATACACAGGGTTGCTGTGATTTGTCAAAACAGCAAATTGCAGCCGTCAGCTGACTGTGCGGCAGCGGTACCATATTTTACCAAAGCTAGAGGTTTTTATTTAAAATAAAATCTACAAGTATTTACGGATATCAAAAATGAAAATAACTTTCAAAAAATCAGCAGTCTTATTTCTGCCATTAAATTTGTATTGGTCGCGGTTTAATGAGTTGTTTAAATTTTTTTATTTATTTACCTAATTCTTTTACGATCCGACATCACCTTACATAGCTCCACGTCAAACAAAACGCGATTCAGCCGAGAAGCCGCCTTGTCCGATAAAAAAAATATTTTTTGGAGATTTTGATAAAGTTGTAGCGTACAAATCCCATTGCAATGGTTAGCTTAATTAATACAGTGGATACCGGGCACGAGGATATGATACACAATGCCGTTTTGGACTACTACGGCCTACACCTAGCTACTTGTTCTTCAGATGGTTCTGTAAAAGTTTTCGACGTGAAAAACGGCAATCAGATATTGGTTGCTGACCTCAAGGGTCACCAAGGGCCTGTGTGGCAAGTAGCTTGGGCGCATCCCAAATTCGGCAATTTGCTGGCATCTTGTTCATACGATCGCAAGGTTATCGTGTGGAAGGAAGGTGCATCGAATGATTGGACTAAATTGTAAGTACTCACAAATTCCAGTTCTCGGGAGTGTATTCATCAACAAACATAAATTTCAGCTACGAGTACAACAATCACGATTCTTCTGTAAATTCTGTCGCCTTTGCGCCCGCTGAATATGGTCTAATACTGGCATGTGGAAGCTCGGATGGTTCGATATCCATACTAACATGCAACATCGAATATGGTGTTTGGGACAGCAAGAAAATATCGAATGCGCATACTATTGGTTGCAATGCTATTTCTTGGTGCTCGTCAACAGTACCAGAACCGGCATTCGATCAACGTGCTTCTACTCGTAATACTGCCGTCAAGCGTCTGGCCAGCGCTGGTTGTGATAATTGCGTAAAAATTTGGCGTGAAGATGCCGATCGCTGGGTAGAAGAAAATCGACTTGAGGGGCACTCTGACTGGGTACGTGATGTAGCTTGGGCGCCATCAATCGGGCTGGCTCGTTCACAAATAGCTTCTGCGTCACAGGACCGCCATGTAATTATTTGGAATAGCACTGATCTAACTACCTGGTCGTCTACAATTTTGCATACTTTTGATGACGTGGTTTGGAGTGTTAGCTGGTCAATGACAGGCAACATTTTAGCAGTTACGGGTGGGGACAATAAGGTGACACTGTGGAAGGAGAACAACGAAAACCAATGGATGTGTATTAACGATGATGCGGCGTCTTCAAATGCACAACAAAACGAACAGCGTACGCTATAGAATAGCATGTACAGTTATACAAATCTACGACAGTGCGCATAAAACCAAACGCAAATATGTTTATTGCAAACCTAATTGGGACATTTATTGCTACACAAAAATCAATACAGATTAAAAAATAGATATCTTAAACGGTTCCCTGTTTGCTACTTCAATTTGCTTAGGACTGCGCTTCGTCAAAGAATTATGATTTAAATTAATATTAAAAGTTATATTCTGAATTAAAGATGATAATGTCAATCTTGAGCATAAGGAGCTCGTACTAACGTTTATGTTCTTTGAATCTATATGCAAATACTAACGTAAACATACATTCATACATGTCTTGATAACAACCTATGTTTATTACTTTCCTTTGTACTTGCTCAGTAATTGTGAAATTTAGTTTGTCGTCTACTATGGACACAATTGTATCGTAATATGAAATAAAAACGTTGTAAAAAAATAGATGTGTAATTTAAAACGCGCAAACATGAATTTCTCAAAACTAGGGTCCTATTTTAAGCATTATTAAAAAAATTCATTAAGTGTAATAGTTTATAGGAATATATCGATTGTCCTCTGCAATAACGGCAATATTCATTTATTAATATTTATTTTTTGAATTTGTAACTATCGATAAGAGATTTTCATACATATTTACATATTATGCACTCCTGCTTCTGGCTAGGCCCTAAGTCTATTAGGGAATCTAATCGCACAAAGTATTTCTTTTATCTTGTCGCAGCATCACATTCATATACATACATACATACATATGAGCTCTGTAGATAACATTGACACTTGTAAAATTTCCTGTTAATTGGTTTTTTGGAGGTAAACAGCTTATCATATCTTCTTCCACCGTATAGCCTCAATACCTTCTCTGAATGACGCTATCTAGTTGAGTTTATGGGGAGTGATGTTGGAGTGATTGTCCTTGGCCAGGTATATGCATATAAATCTAGGTCGTTCCGGTTACGTAGACCCGACTGTCGTGGGAACGCCTATTCTCTACTACTTTCTTTTCTCCTGCGCAGTCGGGTGGTGTGTTTTCGTTGCGATACATCCGCTGATATATCCGTGGGCATTTGAAAGAACTACTAAAGGCTACCTTTCACGGACAAACAAAATAGCATATGCAGATAGAGCTTATTTACCATCACAGCAACAACTTTTGAGGTAACATCTTCCCTTTAAAAGATTATAGAAATCGGTTAACGTGATGCAAAGTTATGCGATAACATACAAAAAAAAAATAGTTGTTGTTGGTCCAGTAAGTGTTGTTGTTGGTCGGAATATTATTATAGTTCATCGTGTAAGTTGCTAGTGTGGAACATTTAAAAAAGTAACACTGAAGAAGTGACGTTTTTGTACTTCTAAGCAAGTTAGGATTTTCTGCTTTTCACCACGTGAAAAAGCATCTCATCTTCCATCCGAATCAACCAAAAAGTGAAAATTGATTTTTTGACACCTAAGCCCCCTTACCGTAGACCAGGTCACATATATCGCTAGCGATGAGCGAAAAATTGCTAGGTTCATTTATAAAAACTTTACAAAACTTTGAATACAACATTTTGCGAATTTAAAGCAAAGCCAAACTCCATACGCATGAGCAGGATTCGATCTTTATTAAAAGATTTCTTATTTTTTGGCATTGTCGGATTTTCGGTGCATCTTTTGGACTAAGCAAATTTGCCTTTCATTCAATATAAAGGAGCAAAATTAAAACAAATACCTTAATCCTATTCGAAACCATGCATATCTCTTGCTTCCCCAATCAAAATATGAGTTTTCGTAAAAAGTGGACTTAGCAACTTTTCACACTAAGCTAGCGGTATGCATTTATTTTGAATTACAACCATTTTTTCTTTGACGGTAAAATATGTTTTGTCCGCAAAAGATAGACTCAGGTTGTTCTTTCAAATGCCCACATCCATGTGCATTCGCTTCGCCAAACCGTTCGCTTCGCCAAATTCATTCGCTTCGCAAGTGATAATACCGCCTATAATCTCTGCTCACAGACTAATAGCGTGGGCCTTCTTGGGAGTTTACTCATGCCAATTGAGATCTTCGAGCTTGGTCTAAAGATGTCGGCTCCGATGCCATCTGATGTTTTTAAGCCATCTGTGTGCCAAATTAAGAGATGCAACTAGTATTTTTAAGTATTTACATGGCCCCAGCTTTCCTAATTAAAAAGCTCGATCGTGGCCCTTTACGCCTCTGATAAATCAACAAGTAAGACTTTGTACCCGACCGATAATTTAGAAGGAAAAAAGGAGAAAATAATGTAGAGTGGAAGGCTCCTGAAATTATCCACTGGGTAATTTTGAGACTTAGTGTCGTATAGGTTGTCTTTCGAGCCCCAGAATACTCCTCCATAGGATATCGTGGCCTTAATAATCATCATATATATATGTATGTATGTACATCCATTTGAGTATCTGAGGGCCACAGACAGCCTCAATGTTTTCCTGATATACGTTTGCATACCATCAGTTCTCTTGCGGCTCTGGATGTCATCTTATCGACATGTTTCCTCCATCAGAATTTGGCATTAAGTGTGATCACGAAATAACTCACTTCCGAAACAGTGCCGACTTGGGTTCGGTGCCATCGAGAGTTATAATTCTCATTCCCAATAGGACTCTTCTTCTTTCTGTCTTCTGGTTTCTAAAAACTAGTCTATCCAGCTACGGTGCCTACAAATATACCGCCTAGCGTAAGGTGCTTCCGAGAGCCTTTCGAGGGAGAGACAGAGGCTCCACAATCAGAAGCACTCTAGATTTCTGCCCCCTAAGCATATAGGATACTGTGTAGTGGACTAACTCTCAAATTGTATGACCTCTGATTCTATTGACAAAAGTTTTTTCCACCACTTTTAGCACAGATTTATTTGGTGTAACAAAATAAACTCCTCTTGTTCTCTTGTTATAAAGCCAGATAAATTCCATCCACTCCAGGAGCCTAGTACAGATCAAATGAGCCTGACTCTGCCTATCCTTTATATCTATAATTGCTATAACAAAATCGTCTTCATCATATTATAAGCCAGATAATTCGTAGAGCCTAGTACCAATCAAATTACCCTGATTCTGGTTCGCGAGAAGATACTTCTTTCAATACCTCAATTACATGCGGTTGGCATAAATCTCAGTACAGTCCTCTAAATTACCTGGATGAATACAATACGGAAAGTATGTATGTGTAGAGTAGTAGACGTGCTCTTTCTATCATACCATTTGTGGTATGTATCGTGCGGTAGCTTGACTGCTGCTTGGGTCTCTACCTTATCATTTGCTGGGGATTTATAAAGCACTCGCAAAGGCTTATGAAACGTTTGATATTCATATTTATTATTTATTTATTGTATGCAGTTAGACTAGTGCTATAGTCCTCCAAGTACGCCTTTCTGAGTCTAGAGAGATGATTAATTTGGGTTTGGTCAGACGGCAGCTGCTATTAAAGGTATTTTTATAGCATCGTTGAGTCTATTTACCCTTCCTTTTAACTCCAAACAATGTGTTGATTTTAGGATCTAGGTTCTCTACGTTCATTTTAAGCGCGTCAGTAAATTTAAGTCTACTCCATTCCTGATGGTGCACATTTTTATCGCAACCTACATATAATAAGGAGTTCTTTCTTCTCGCAATATTTTATAAGCATCTGCACCTCCATCAGGTAAATGCTCTTATTGTCTCCCGGTAAATATAAGGCGGCAAGGACGATATCCAATGGCCCAGATTATGCAAGATTAATTCCCTAATGAACACTGCCGAGCAGCCAAGGCGTCCTGAAGGCTTAACTGCACTATAGTTATGGTGGGTTGATTGATAATTTTTACGCCGGCTCGTATATGTCTGAGAGCTTCAGCTCGCTCTATCTGCTGCCCTCTACCTCGAGCTTACGCATGTCTAGTCCCTCCAACAACTCATGCGTTGTTGCTGTCTTCGCTAGGCGTGATGCCATTCCCAGTTGGGATGGGCTTCGCATTTTTCTCTAGTGAAAGGTGACCCTTTCTATCTGCAGCTTTTCCAAAGCAGACACGGTTTCACTGGAGGACATGGTTTCATCGCTATGCTACTTATAAATCTGGCTCGCTTGCCACATAACCTAATATTTAGAATTTTAAAACTACTATTAAAGCATTAAATTAGTTACGTCACAGAAGATAATATAGGTAGACCTCCTTAAGTACTGCCATTCTAAAAGGTTTGCCTAAGAAAGGTTAAAAAAGATTCTTCGCTGCGTGCCTTCTAGAAGGGCTTTTCCTATTTGCAATTTACGCGAATGTATAAGTTTATATGTATGTACGTACATATCTATTATTTAGAATTACAAATGAATTACAACATGAATTTTAAGTTGCAAACAAAATTTTATATATGCATACCTTGAAGAAGTATAATTTTTGTTACTTTAGAAAAACTTCTCCAAAACTACTTCTGAAGTACGTCCAACAAAAGCCTTTCTATGAGTAGCGAAAGCAGAGGCATTTAAATTTTTGTCACTTCATACAAAAAGGAAGTAGAAAGATATGTAGAGTGGAAAGCCTCTCGATACTCACAAAGTCCTTTTGGAAGGACTTTTAGCTCCTGAAATTATCTACTGGGGTCATTTATTAAGTTCTAAGTCACTCCTTAAAGAAAGAAAAATTTTATTTAGATGTGGCCTTTCTATTTTTGGTAAGAATAATTTTTTAGGCCGCCTAATGTACCAAATACTCTGCACGTGCGTTAATTTGCAATTGTGAAAATAATGTACATACATTGCCTAATGACATTAACGTGCCAAGTTGTGGTAAATTTCATAAATAAACCTACGAGTTTATTGCGCACGAGTCGTTCCCATTAAAAATTACGCAAATTTCCGTTTGGTATTTGCACATATTTTATGTATATTTAAGCAGTTCAGACATGACATTTTTTTAGTTTACTGTTTTAGTAAATACTAACTTTTCAAGGGCCAGACTAAGTTCAAAGAATAAATGTTACAAAGCAAATGTAAACAGCCAGCTCTCGTTTCAAAAGGGGCTATCCATACGATCCTTTACGTTTCAGAAATACAATTAGTAACTAATACATATCGATGGTCCTCCGCAATAACGACGCAACTCAAATTAAAAAAAAAACCTTACTCCTTTTAAGTGTCTA